AGAGCTGGAAGCAACCTTAGAGACCGCTGTATTCAGCTCCCTCATTTAACAAATTAGGAGGCTGAGGCACAAAGTTATTAAATGATTCACCCAGGGTTGCACAGCTAAGTGTCTGAGGTAGGGTTTGAGCCAAGGTCTTTGTGACTCCAAGTGCAGTGACCTGCCAGACCACGGGAGTCATCATCATTTATACAGTGTACTTGCACTATCCCCTAGTACTCCTTTCTGGAGCTTTTCCTTCTGCTTCAGAGTGTAGCCCATGAGTGCCCCGTAAACAGCTGGATTGTAACAAGGTGTTAGATGTTCATTTCAGGCCACGCTAGATATCTAGCCAGCAAATGATCAACCTAAATCACATGGCTCTTTATCTTGTTTTAAAAATCTAACAACAAAGTAAACAATGGCAGTAGCACCAAAAATAAGTGAATGACCTTCTTTCCAAGGTGACAGCTTCAAAGAGGACAACATTTGTGTTCTTACATTCTGGTGTATTGTTTTAAACCCACCAGACTAATTGCTTTCTACCTCTCATTCAGAACCCATAAATCAGAGGAGCTCCCGAAATGTCGTTTCCTAGACTAACTCCAATCAGGAAATGTTACACCATGAGCCATATCCTCTGTCCTGTGATCAGCAGGATGGACAGAGTCATGTAGTTTCTTCTCAGTGAATTTATGTGAAAGAAAGTTATTCTGATCTAACTCCAACTCAGACAGATTTTTTTCTCTTAAATCACAATTTTACGATTAGACAGCTCAGAGGAAGTTTAGGACAGGATGTTGATTTGGGCTTATTATGATGATTATTTACTAGATCTCAGAGCTGGAGTTGTAGCCAGGGCTAGAACCAGTGGCTCAGGGGAAGCTTTGAGGAAGGCAGTCTGAAATGCGTAGAAGTAAGCATCATGGATGAACTATGTTGGGAAATGGGGCAGCCTGGACCCTGTGGAGTTTGGAGGGAGAAAGTGAGCCCTATGAGAGGGGCACCATGAGAAGGAGTCAGGCAATGGGATGATAGTATCAGGAGGAAATGTGCTGTGAGTGTGCTGCTGTGAGGAGGAAATGTGTTCCCTCAAGGATGTATGAAACTTGGGACAAAGCACAGACCATCCCACCCTAATTATGATTTTGTCCAGAGATTCCATTTATTTGGCAGCGAACAAAACACAAACTTATTGACAAAAGAAGATTAATCAATAGTTTGAGTTTCCTAGTGCTTACTCCCCAACACTGAGTGTATATTTTCTAGTTCTAAGTTGTGTTGAAGACAATTTTGACGAAGGGTGTCTACTAGACCTTCTTTCATCTTTTTCTGAGCCCTTAGAGGGATATAATCATAGAGCATTGTCTTTTTTTGCTTGCCCAGGAAGTTGTGTACTAGAAAATATTGACACAGAATCAGGAGATTTGGGTTCAAATCATGGCTATAGTGCCTACTGACTAGGTAACCATGGCCAAGTCCTGAGCCTTCATTGTCTGTTCTGTAAAATGGGGCTAAAATACTTACATCTACCATCCCAGGGTGGTTGTGAGGAAAGGCTTTGTGAGCTACAAAATTCTAGATAAATATGAACTATTATTACAGAAATAATAAGATAACTCCAACCAGGCCAGTTGTTTCGTTAAAAAAAATCTTAGTCTTTACCCATTCACCAGCATAGTCTTAAGTGTAAACAGTTTATTTTGTAATTTTAAAAAGCGTAAAAAAACTTTCTGATATTTTTATGTATCTTCTATTCCTTCTATATTTACTCAAAATTAGAAGTCCATCTCTACTAGTGAGGGCCATTGGGGGTCCACAATTTGTTTTCCCTGATAAATCAATCAATTAACTGACATACATTTATTAAACTCCTACTATGTGCTAGGTACTATGCTAGGAATATAAGACAAAAACAAAACATTTTCTGCCTTCAAGCGGCTTATATACTATCAGAAGAGATGAACATGTACATAGCTAGATATATACAAATTAGATAGAAAGTAAGGTAATTTGGGGTGGATGAGGCACTAGCATCTGGGGGTGTTCAGGAAGGCCTTTTGAAAAAGGTGATGCATGAACCAAGTTTTGAAGGAAAACAGGGCCTCTAAGAGGCACATTAAGGAAAGAGTACATTTCAGATTGAAAAAAAAATCAGTGCCAAAGCATGGAGATGGGATAGAGTATGGTATATGAGGAAAAATTAAGGTCAATTTGTGGACCACAGTGTTTGGGTGACAGGGTTGGAAAGGCAAATTGAGGGCCAGATTTTGAAGAGCTTTGAATTCCTAACAAAGTTGATACTATCCTATAGGAAGCCACCATATTTTACTGAGTACAGTAGTAATATACGTGGTCAGACCTATGCCTTAGGAAAATCCCTTTGGCAGTTATGTGAAGGATAGATTAAAGAGGGGAAAGACTTGCGGCAAGCAGGCCAATTATAAGGCTAGTGCAATAGTCCAGGCAAGAAGTGTTAAGGGTTTGCACTAAGGTGGTCTCTGAGGGAGTGGAGAGAAGGGAATATATGAGAAATGTTGATGGAGATAAAAATGCCATGATCTGGAAAATTATTGGATAAGGAGAGAGAGAGGTAGACGAGTAAGGATTTGAGGATTAGATGAAGGCTTTAAGCCAGGATGCCTGGAAGGATGGTGGTACACTCCACAGAAATTGAAAAGTTAGGAAACAGGTAGGGGTTGGAGAAAGACGACAAGTTTTTTGGACACACTGAGTTTGAGATACCTATGGTGAATTCAGTTGATGTTGTGGGACTGGAGCTCAGGAGAGAAATTCAGGCAAAATATATAGATCTGTGAGTTCTCTGTATAGAGGTGACAATAAAACCGATGGGAGTTATCCTCTAATTCCTTGGAAAGGGAAGAGGGGGAGGCCAGATAGCTAAAGAGAAGGATAGGGAGGTAAGGGCAGAAGAGGTGCCCTCAGAAAAATAGCAGGAATTGAGGGCACTGGAGATGGTGAGATGGAAAGGGCCTGGATAGGGGGGTCACCAGGAAAAGAAGGCCATTGGAAAGTGACTTATGAATTAGGCTTGGAGCAAGGAATAGATATATGGGAAATGACTGGAGGAGAAAAAAATGACTAGGGGTGGGGGAGAAGGGAGAAAATAATTACTTTAGGAAAGATATCTGGAATGGAGGGGAAACATACAAAATGGGGAAATTTTGAAGTACTATAGCTGGTTCATCTTCAGTTTTCTCTTTTTCTTGCTTCCATCCGACCCCAGGTGGTGGGGCAGAGAGAGCAATTTGGGAGCACTATGCCTTCCTGCCAATCAAAACCTGTTCTTAGGAAAAATCTGATATCAGTTATTTTTGCCTTTTGATGTAGCGCCTTACCACCCTTAGAGTATCTAATTATTACACTTTAGCTAACTTTATGGAATGAAAATATTTTTCTTCAATTAAAGGAATTTCAAGTAGCAGCAAGGGTAAATATTTTATTGGTCAGGAGGTCCCACTTCTTGTATTCTAAATTAGACCTTAGAAAACCTAGGATTAGGCCAGCCCCTGGATTGAAGTAAAGAACAGAAGTATTAAGGGAATTCTTTATTTAGGACCCTGGAGTGATCCATGGAGGAGGGAAGAAAGCCAGAATGGGAAAGGCAGGCTGATGGCTGAGTTATCCAGTCACCCATAGGGACACAATAATGAGACAGACTTGGAAAGAAAGAAACCTATACATAGGGAGAAAGATAGAAACACACACAGAGAGACAGAAAAATGAGGAGGAGGGGTGAATGTGGGGAGAGAGGGAAGAAGAATAAGAAGGAGGAAGAGGAGGAGAAGAAGAAGAAGGAGAAGGAGGAGAAGGAGAAGAAGAA